CTCCCAAGGTTTTTCGGTGTTCCGGATTCATCCGTGTAATCGGATTTTGCAAATTCTCATTATATTGAGAGATATGACAAATGGTATGGCACCATTCCAAGTTCCAACACTCAACAACAACTACGACAATTAGAGTATCAAAATGAAGGTACTTCTTGGACCACAAGATGTGTGGGATATCATAGAGAAAGGCTATAACGAGCTTGCAGATGATGATGTTTTTGCTACTCTTACACCAGATCAAAAGACAACTTTGAAGGATTCAAGAAAGAGAGACAAGAAGACTCTCTACCTCATTTATCAATCATTAGATGATGATGGTCTTGAAAAGATTTCGAGTGCAAGCTTTAGCAAGGAAGCGTGGGAAAAGCTGCAAACCTCTTACAAAGGATCCGAGCAAGTGAAGAAGATCTGTCTACAAACATTAAGAGGTGAATTCGAATCCTTACACATGAAAGCACATGAGTTTATTTTAGATTAATTCTCAAAAGTAGTAGTTGTTTCTAATCAATTAAAAATAAATGGTGAAAAGTTAGAAGATGTGAGGATAATAGAGAAGATACTTCGTTAATTGGATCCTAAATTTGAGCACATCGTTGTGACGATTGAAGAAACTAAAGACTTGGAAGAAATGATTATCGAGCAACTCCAAGGATCATTAGAAGCATACGAAGAGAAGCATAAGAAGAAGCATGAGTTTACTGAGCAACTCCTCAAGCTGCAACTCAAAGATATGCATGAAACACAATGCAATGATAGAAATCAACGTGACCTAGGCAGAAGTAGAGGCCATGAACGAGGTGGAAGTCGCGGATGTGGACGAGGCTGGAATTACAACAACAATAATTCCAACAACAATTATGAGAAAGAAGAAAGCTCAACACGAGGCCATGGAAGAATCAATATGAACTCAAGATATGACAAATCTCAAGTTCGATGTTATAATTGTCAGAAGTTTGGGCATTATGCTTCAGAATGTAGAGCTCCCAACAATAAAATTGAGGAGAAGGCCAACTACGTAGAGGAAAAGACAGATGGCAAAGAAACTCTTCTTCTAACACGAAAGGAAATTGATGGTGGCCAAGAAAATTCATGGTATCTTGACAGTGGTGCAAGCAATCATATGTGTGGAAGGAAAGACATGTTCGTGGAGCTAGACGAGTCAGTAAGCGGAAATGTTTCGTTTGGAGATGATTCCACAATAGCAGTGAAAGGAAGAGGTAACATCTTTATCCGCTTGAAAGATAAGAGACATCAATTTATTTCAAATGTCTACTATGTGCCCAATATGAAAAGTAACATCTTAAGTTTAGGGCAACTGGTAGAGAAAGGTTATGATATTCATATGAATAATTATAATCTTTCTATAAAAGATGATAAAAATAACTTCATTGCTAAAGTGCCGATGTCAAAGAATAGAATGTTCTTGATCAACATACAAAATGATGTTGCAAAGTGCATGAAAGCTTGCTACAAAGATGCATCATGGCTTTGGCATCTTCGATTTGGGCATCTCAATTTTGGAGGTCTAGAGCTACTATCTAAGAATGCGATGGTGAAGGGACTACCTCACATCAACCATCCTGACCAGCTTTGTGAAGGGTGTCTAGTCGGGAAACAATTCAGGAAAAGCTTTCCAAAGAAGTCAGAGACAATAGCCAAGAACCCACTTGAGCTCATCCATACTGATGTGTGTGGACCGATCAAGCCAAGCTCTCTCGGTAACAATAACTATTTTCTTCTCTTCATTGATGATTTTTCAAGAAAAACCTGGGTATATTTCTTGAAACAGAAGTCAGAAGTTTTCGAAGTCTTCAAGAAGTTCAAAGCAGCAGTGGAGAGAGAAAGTGGTAGAAAGATCAAAGCCATGAGATCCGACCGAGATGGAGAATTTACTTCCAGGGAGTTTCAAGAGTTCTGTGAAGCAAATAGAATTCTTCGACCAATGACAGTTCTTAGATCCCCTAGCAAAATGGCGTGGCAGAAAGAAAGAACAGAACAACCCTCGACATGGCACGAAGCATGCTCAAAAGCAAGAAACTACCCAAGGAATTTTGGGCGGAAGCAGTAGCGTGTGCAGTCTACTTGTCAAACCGATCTCCAACAAGAAGTGTATGGGGAAAGACACCGCAAGAGGCATGGAGTGGAAGAAAGCCTGACATTTCCCACTTGAGAATCTTTGGAAGTATAGCCCATGTTCATGTACCATACGAGAGAAGAACGAAGCTTGATGATAAAAGCGAGAGTTTTATCTTCATCGGCTATGATGCTAATTTGAAAGGCTACAAGTTTTACAATCCAAACAATAAGAAGTTTGTGATTAGTCGAGATGTGGTCTTCAACGAAGGAGAATGAGATTTTAACTCTCATGCAGATGATATCAATTTCTTTCCTCAGTTTGAAGAAGATAAGCAGACAATGAGGGAACAACTAGGTGAACCTCAACAAGAGCTTGAAACTCCACCCACTTCACCAACATCAACCACTCAAGGAGACTCATCACCTTCGTCATCGTCAAGTGGGAGTCAAAGTGAAAGAATTGTGCAACGTACAAGAAGCCTTAGAGATCTCTATGAGGTAACTGAACGATAAGATAATATTACATTATTTTTGTCTGTTTGTCGATTGTGAACCAGTGAGCTTTCAAGAAGCAGTACAAGAAAAGAAATGGAGAGATGCGATGGATGAAGAAATCAAGGCCATCGAGAAGAATGACACATGGGAACTTACCTCACTTCCCAAGGGACATAAAGCGATAGGTGTCAAATGGGTGTACAAAACAAAGAAAAACACCAAAGGGGATATTGAAAGGCACAAGGCGAGGCTAGTTGCTAAAGGCTATAGTCAAAAGGCTGGAATTGACTATGATGAGGTATTTGCTCCTGTTGCTCGATTAGAGACTATCAGACTAATCATTTCTTTGGCAGCTCAAAACAAGTGGAAGATACAGCAGATGGATGTAAAGTGTGCCTTCCTAAATGGAGTTCTTGAAGAGGAAGTTTACATTTAGCAACCATCAGGCTACGAAGTCAAAGGACATGAAGACAATGTGTTGAAGTTGAAGAAGGCTCTTTACGGGCTAAAACAAGCACCAAGGGCATGGAATAGCCAAAGCGACAAGTACTTCAAAGAGAATGGCTTCAACAAATGTCCCTACGAGCATGCTCTATATATCAAGATCAAAGATGGAGATATTTTGATCGTGTGCCTCTATGTGGACGATTTGATCTTCACCGGAAACAACCCAAGCATGTTTAATGAATTCAAGGATGTGATGATGAAAGAATTCGAGATGACAGACATAGAGCTCATGGCGTACTATCTTGGTATTGAAATTAAGCAACAAAATGATGGAATTTTCATTTCACATGAAAGCTATGCAAAGGAGATCCTGAAGAAGTTCAAGATGGAGAACTGTAAGCCAATAAGCACACCTACAGAATACGGGATCAAGATGTCCAAACATGAAGAAGGCGAAAGTGTAGATCCAACAACCACCCATTTTAAAGATGCAAATAGAATTTTTCGCTATCTGAAAGGTACAATTGACTTTGGCTTGTTCTATTCAGTTTCTAATGATTACAAGCTTGTTGGATATAGCGATAGTGATTGGGGTGGAGACATAGATAATCGAAGGAGCACTACTGGATTCGTATGTTGTTGCTACCTCATGCGTTTGTTACGCAATTTGGCTTAGAAATCTATTGAAGGAGATAGGTTTGATCAGGGATTCAAAAAACGGCCATGTAACGGTATAACGATCGTTATATCGCGGTATCGGTGGCCACCGTTACCGATATCAACCGAAATCACAGTGTGAAACGGAATCACACCTATAACGGCCGAAAACGACCGCAATTTAACGGGTAACGGTCGATCACGGCTATAATGGACCGTTTTTCCCGTTAATCCCGTTACAACATCATAAATCACCAACAGCACAATTACTTCAAAAAAATAGCAATTCAGTTTCCTTTACAACAAAAGTAAAAATGAAAGAATATATTCTCTGTAAAACCTGTAAAAATCAGTTTACTTTATATTCAAATTGAAAAAAAAAGTAATCACAAATTCACAATTATTGAATCAGTACAAAATATAAAAACAAAAAGCAACAGAAAAAAGCAATCCCAAATTAAAATCTGAAATTTTTGCTTACAACTTCAAAACTCCTCTCAAATTTCACTACCCAAACTCAAAATCAAAGAAAAATCAGAAGGGAAAAAAGCTTTCACTTTGAAGAGAATCTCACAATTTCAAGTAAGTAAAATACATGATTGTTAAGTTTTTCATTCTTGCTTCTTGTAACATGCAGCAACCAATATAGGTATGAAAAAAATTTGACAAAAAATCTTCACAAATCCATCAATATTTGTAGGTTTGTGGATATTTTTGGTTGAAATAACAAGAAAAATTTAAGAAAGGTAACAAAGAAAAGAAAAGGGATGAATTTGAAAGAAGAAAAAAAAGACATCTTTGCTGCTTCTGGCTTCTGCGTTTGCCAGCCCTATGTCCCTCCATTTTCACGTTAGAACTTAGAAGAAGATGATAGGTTTTTATGTTTTATCTTTACCCGTTAGGGATTTAAAGATGTTTTATGTTTTATTTCTTATTATTTTTTTTACTTTTAATTTGTAGGCCTTTTGGGTTTGAAGTTTGGACCTAAAAGAACCATATAAATTTAAATGGAGTATTTGGGTTATTGTTATGTTATGGCCTTATGAATTTACCCCATATAATTAAATAGATTAGGCTATTTAATTAGTTAATATTATGACCTTATGAATTTTCTAAAACAATTGTTGAATTTAAATTTTATATACTTCAATTATTTTTATTATTTATTAGTTTGTGTAATAAACTTATTTTTGTCACTTTCAATAATGCTTATTATTTTTTGTATTAAATTATTGATAATAGAAGTGATGAATTGCTTATATTTCTAAATTCTATTTTTTTGGCTTTATGTTTCTTGTATATAAATAAAAATAAAGCATGCCACCACGTGAAGAGTTTCCGACGAAAGGATTAGAAGGTGCACCGAGTAATGATATAGGTTGGCACTTTGGTACTCCAGTGCCAAATGCGAGAGGAAGCACTTCATGTAAACTATGTGGTAAAGTTGTGAAAGGAGGAATAACACGATTTAAAGAACACATTGCTCATAAAACTGGAAATGTTGCACCATGCCCTAATGTTACTGGTACGTGATATTTTTATTATTTTTTTAAATTTTACTATAAATTTATTGATATAGATTATATATAATTGATAACAATACAAAATTGACATTATTTTATTTTATTAACAGGTGTCATTAGAGAAAGTATGATGAATTTATTAAAAGAATGCAACAAAAAAATAGACAAAAAGAGGAGAACAGAAGAATTCTTGTCCCAGTTAAGAGAAGAGGGGGATGAAAAATGAAGGATTCATTGATGAGATTGATGCAATTAGGCAAGCAACTCGAGAAAGCATCAAATCACAACATGAGTGGCATAGAAGAGAAGAATTTAGACGAAGTACTGGTGGTTAGAGTAATATTTATGAAGAAGGGCGACCTTCCCATGGATCAGTTGGAGGATATCGTCAAGAAAGAACAAGTAAATCCATCCCGAGTGAGTCTGAGTTTACCTTACGAGGAGCTACACCTGAATTGGTTAGAAGTACAAGCTCAAAACAACCAAAGGTCAGTGGTTCTTTTTAAAGACTTTACTCAAGAAGATAGGTGAAGCGGTATCTAAATTTTTAATATATGAACGACTTCCTTTTCAATTAGCAAGTTCTCCATGGTTATATAATTTAATTCAAGTGTCAATAGAAGTTGGACAAGGTGTAAAGCTGCCAATACCTTATGAGGTTTCAGATGTGTATTTGGAGTCAGAATTTGAACGAGTTCGTGATTGGGTAAATAGAATGAAGACTCATTGGAAAGATTTCGGTGCAACTCTAATGTGTGATGGTTGGACCAACAGTTTAAACCAAATGCACATCATTAATTTCCTTGTTTATTGCAGTAAAGGAACCGTTTTCTGGAAATCCATGGATGTCTCAAGTGTTCGTAGAAGAGATGTTGAGTTCTACTACAACTTGTTAGATTCAGTTGTAGAAGAAATTGGAGAAAGCTACATTGTCCAAATAGTGACTGATAATGAGGTAGCAATGAAAGTCGTTGGGAAAAAAATAATGTTAAAAAGAAAGCATTTATATTGGACCTCATGTGCAGCTCATTGTTTGGATTTATGCCTTGAAGATATTGGAAAAAGGCCTAGTGTAGCAAAAGTGTTAGAAGAGGCTAAGAAAGTGACTTGTTTCATATACAATCACATTTGGACTGTTGATCTAATGAAGAAGTATACACAAGGGAAGCAAATACTTCGACCCGCTCTTACTCGATTTGCAACCCATTTCATCCAGCTTGAAGAGATAACAAGACAAAAGCAAGGTCTGAGAGAAATGTTTAATTCAAAGGTCAGTATTTTATAATTAATTATATAATTACTTAAATATAACAATCTTTAATGATTTATTATTTGTAAATACTTTAATTATATAATTTTAATTTTTTATGAATATACAGGAATTTAAAGAATCAAAATGGGGACAACAAAAGACAGGGCCAACTTATGAAGCTAAGAAGATTATTTTGGGAAAAGATTTTTGGAAAAAAGCAAATGACCTCATAAAAGTTTACGAGCCCTTAGTGAAAGTATTGAGGCTTGTGGATAGTGATGAAAAACCAACAATGGGCTTTATTTATGAAGCTGTTGATAGAACAAAACGGGCGATTCAACAAGATTGTCGATATTTCACCGAGTATAAAAAGATTATTGATAATAGGTGGAATTTTATGCATTCTGACTTGCATTCAGCTGGTAAGATAAAATGATTCATATAATTAAGAATTATTTTTATATTTTATTATAGATGAAATTTTATTACTTTAAGCTCTAAATTATTATTTAATGATGTTCTCTTAAATTATGCTTAGGTTATTTTCTCAATCCTCAATTTCAATTTGGGGTGGAACATTCTGATAATGTATTGATAGAAACATTAGAAGTTACAAGATCAGTAATTGAAAGATTAGAACCTTCTCTTGACACTCAAATCAGAATGGTTAATCAGGTTAGATTCAAATATTATTTTTTGTAACTTAATTACATAATTTGAAAATATTTTTTTCTTCATTTTTTCTTTATCTTTAATTTATGCAGTTGTTACTATTTCGAGATAAACATGAGACATTCGGTACTCCACAAGCACAGAGAGCTTGGAGGCAAATGAATCCAGGTAAATAGTTAACTAAATTATTTAATTTATATTATTTAGTTATATTGTACATTTTTAATTTATTTTGAAATTTAAACATTATTTTGCAGCTGAGTGGTGGATAATATATGGCACAGGTGTTCCTGAGTTACAAAGATTAGCAATTAAAGTGCTTAGTCAAACAACTACCGCATCAAATTGCGAACGAAATTGGAGCACATTTAGCTATATTCACACCAAGGCAAGAAATATGTTGACGTATAAAAGACTTGAGAAACTAGTGTTCACTTACTACAATATGAGGCTCCAGATTAGACATCAAAAAAGAACGAGCATCGATGATATAAACACTAGTTTTAATCCTATCAACCTTGATCATATCTTTGAAGATGTTGATCCATTATCAGAATGGCTTCAAGAGAAAGAGAATACATTGTTAGATGGTGAAATTGCCGGTGTGTTGCCTGTGGATACCTCAGATGATGAAACGAATGTTGATGAATCTCAACAACAAAATTTGGCTCATTCAAGTTCTAGTGCAACACCAAGTCAAAGTGGCGATGGACTTGATGGTGGTGGTTTAAGTCCAATTGATGATGATGATGATGATGATGATAATGGTGGTGGTGGTAGAGATGAAATTAGGTCTTCTAGTCGATTTGGAAGAGAATATGGGGTTGGTACAACTAGTGGACATTTTCGTGATAGATCAGAATTTGGTGGAAATATATCTCCGAAATCTAGAAGACATAGAAGTGAACCTAAAGCTCCATCAAAAGGAAAATGCAAGAAGCATACTTCTGTAGGCTCTTTATCTAGTAGAAGATCAAGTTCTAGTAACCTTGGGCAGGGAGATTCATCTACTTGCACACAAGGTTTTTATCCACCAGAACAATTTCCATATTTCCAACCTTCACATGGTTATCCACAACCATATGGTTATTATCCATTATTTTCTAATTATGGTGTGCCATATCAACCTCAAATGTATCCTCCACCACCAATGTATCAACCACCTCCACCTCTTATGTATCCTCCTTAGATATATCCTCCACATCAATTATATGAAAATGAAGGTGAAAATGTTATTTTTTTATATGTTTTTGGACAAAGGCCACGAGAATCAAGTCAAGAAGGCTCTCAAAATGAAGGCGAATGATATGAACTTCCTCGTCATTCCACTAATTGGTGAAAATTAAATTCTTCCTCTACCACTTGAAAGGTATGTTTTTTTTAATTAATTGGAGGCTTTGGTTGATGGAATTCAATGAAACTCAATTGAGAAAATATTTGTAAAAGTTTCTTTTGTTGCTAGGTTTTTTATTGTGACCCTGATGATAGCTCAAGATAGTGGCGACATTTTCAAAGGCTTTGAGTCTTCCTAGTTTTGCAGTGCTAGTGATGCAATATTGCCTGATTTTGGTCTAAAAACCTGCCAATGCGTATCATGTACTTTTATCATGATGGAAAACGATTTAATACTTGTGTAATTTTCCACAACAGAGCTTCTATGTGTATATTCTGTTACAATCTATTGTTTTTTACTTCCTTGCAGTGCTTGTTCCTTGCTGGTATCAATGAAAATGGGAATGATTTCTCATGCTTCACGTAGTGTTGATGTTGTTATACTTGTACTGTTATATTTTTGTTGTGTGGTCTTTTTCCTGCTCTCTTTGTGGATGTCTGATGATATGAATTTCTATATTTGCACTAGGAGGCTTTTCTTGTTTTTACCTCGTAGGGAAATTTGTTTGAGATGTTGATTGCCATGTATTCTATTACAGTTTGCAGTCCATTAAATCATCAAACGGGAAAAAAAGTAAAGGCTTTAAGTTTTGAATATTGTTTTGAATATTGTTTTGTTCTTAGTGTGCTTACTAAGTCTATAAGTGTTAGAAAATACTCTAAAAGTCATTAAAAGTGATTTTTTATAATTATAATTATAATTACTATATTTTATGATAAGTTGTGCAAATTTCAAAAAAATTCATGTCTGCGATAACCGTAGTGACCGCGACCGCGACCGCGATAAACGCAACGCGACCGAAAACGCGACCGCGATCGCAATTTGAATCTTGGGTTTAATACAAGAAGAGCCTACCAAGGTTTGTGTTGACAACAAGTTGGTCATTGCCTTAGCAAAGAATCTAGTATTCCATGATCGAAGCAAGCACATCGATATTCGCTACCACTATATAAGGGAGTGTGTTGCAAGAAACGATGTGGAAGTTGAATACGTGAAGTCACAAGATCAAGTTGCCGATATTTTTACCAAGCCACTGACGAGCGAAGACTTCATAAGATTAAGGAACTTACTAGGAATCACAAGATCAAGTTTAAGGGGGGGTGTTGGATCATAAACTTGATCCATTATGGGAGCCTAAACCGAAACCCAAACTAAATTGATGTCATTGCTTACATAAATTAGATGAATATGTCATTGCTTACATCAATTTAGTTAGGTGAGAGTTAGGTATTTGTAGACTTTAATGGTTTAAATTATTTTATTTGTGTGGTGTAGGATTGTTCTTGAGTAGTATAAATACCCCTCCCCATTTTAGTTTAAGCATCAAGAAAAATTAAGAGCTTCTAAGTGAGTGAAGAAGCAAAGTCTTATAAGAGTGAGTTGTAGTTCTTGTTTTTGAGTGAGAGTGCTCTTGTAATATTTGTTTGAGTTTCAATAAAAGTTGTTTGTGTGAGTGTTTCATTTCCAACATGAAACACAGGGAACTGTGATCGGTTACAAATTTAATTTATTTAGATTTCTACATCTGAACTTTTAAGAACTTTAATGCTTGAACACGAAAATAGTCCTTCTAGACCCATATATATACACTAAAAGCGTTATGGTTATAATTATGGTATGCAAAGAGCCCGTTTGACAATGATAAGATTGATTTTGGTAAGCAGAAAACTACTGCAATGTGAGATTAAAACTCCAGTGGTGAGGTCAAAATCATAGATGGAATCATTTTCTTAAACAATGGTTGTGGTGAGGTAAGATATGATAAGAACATAAAATGGTTAATAACACCAATAATCTGAAAATTGTATTGATAAATTCTTTCTTTAATTGACTCTTTACCACTTAATTATGTATCATTGTGTTATGGAATGAGAGAAACAGAGAAAGATACAAGAAGAGAATGAGAGAATTTAGAGAAGAAAATAGTCATTCATTCATTGCATGAGGAAGAAAATGCCTCAAGTCAGGTCTTATTTAGTTACAATGGTTGTACGGTAATTCTAATAATGCCAGGTGGTTGTCCTTTATAACAGATTATAACGACTCTACTTATCCCTTTCTTTCTTCTGCAGGTATTGGCCTTTTGACTCGGACTGCTCCAACTCTTCCTGGATCCATTCAGCCTGCTCCAACTCATTCGGTAAGTTAATCATATGCCCTTCACGTGCTTCAATTCCCAATTTATATTTTCCAATCCCTAACCCTTGCGCATCCATTCCCAATTTCTCCCCTCGCTCGTCCATTCCCAAATTCTCCTCTCCTCGCCGTTCTTCTTCTTCTCCGACCATAACAATACCCGCCCCACGAGATGATCCTTGTCCCCAAGGATCAAAATCTGAGAATTGTGCTGGAAGTACAATATAATTTACCACCGTAATGTTTTCCAGTTCTAATTTCATGCACGGTATCTGATTGTGCTCCTGCTCTCTACGTTTGTCGATCCTTACAGAACCATAGAACCTTGCTGCCAGCTTTAATCCCTTTCGAAGAGCAAGTGAGGTTTGATGGTAAGACTGAAATTTCAAGTAAACTCGCCCCACGACCTTCAAATTTCTATAAATTTCCATTTTGCTTTGTGCCTTCACGCCCCATGCCTTTAACCTTTGATTCATGTTTTCCTTGGGTTTGAGAATGAAGTGAACCATAGACTGCCCATGGTTTTTCCTTCTTATAATTGAAGCTAACAACTCCCATATTGCCTTCCTGATACTGTCAAATTTACTTAATATGCCTACTACAAGCAAAATGGAAAGAACAATATCCATCGATTGGCTTGCATCTGATGCTTCAGTAAGGGACACATCACAGAACCTTATTGTTAGTGAGGCTACAGCACGACATAGTTTGTCACCAGCATTTCGCACAGTTTCTTTGATGTCATCCATAGCACGAAAAGCAACCACCCTTATTTTCTTCAAATACTTCCCAACCTGATCAAATTTTTGACCTTGGATAATATGTGCAAGGGCAAGGCACAATTCCTCACGAGAACGCCGAAGCCTTGGAATCAATACTCTTAAAAATGGTTGAAGAGCATCACCAGCTTGCTTGGCTATCTTAGAAAATACAAAAGCATCACCTCTCTTGGAATTTAGTGAGGCTTGATAATTATCCAGATCCAAAAATTTATAAATTAAATCTTGATGTCCCATCTCATTTGCAAGATTACAAAGCTCCTTGTAAGTGCTAAGTTTCCTCCCACTAAGGCTTTCACCAATAGTGACCTCTTGAAATACCTCCGAGTATTCAACCAACTTGATCGCTCTTTCCCTCTTTCCAAAACCAGTCAAAGTGGTAACAAGTGCATCAACCAGGTTTTTCTTCATTGATGTGTCACCCAAAAGAAAATTTGAAGGCATGGAAAGTGAAATAAAGTTGGTCTTGAGAATCACATCAGAAGTTACAGGAACACCACCCCAGAGAAATGATAGAGCTTCTCCAGCTGCAATTAAAATATCCTCAACCTTTGAACAACAAAGGCTAAAAATCAAATCAAGCGCAATTTTCATATTAAAAGCAGAAGTTTCTTTCACACACATATTCCCGATAGAGATAATAATTTTCTGGACTGCCTTAGTGTCATCACCAGAGAGTAACTTACTTATCTTTTCATTCAAAAATTCCAGAATGCTAACACCCTGAGTTAAGGTGATGAACACATGAATCGGATAAGAAGCATCTGGACCAGTTTCCCTCAATCGGAACTGGGAATTTTGGTGCCACGAATTATAATCTTGACAGTCACCGGCACTGTAACCACGCCATTGTCCATGGACAGAATATTGCATCTCAGGAGGATAGACCCAACATACATATATTGACCTGAAGTGAATTTGGAAGTCTTGCCATGACATCCAGAATATACCATCTTTTGACTGAGGAACATGCTTCAACTTGTACCTCATCCTATCCGTCCATTTCGAAGATGAATCAGACCAGGGACCATTCCATTCAACTTCATTAGCCCAAGGGTTTCGAATTTGAATAAGCTTGTGTCCATCCACCTCTCTTACCTGCAGTAACGAGTACCCATGTCCTTGTACAATGCTACTGGAAAAAACCTTCACATCAGAGCTTGATGGACTTCCATCACCAAGAAGAAATCCTTCTTGTTTAAATCGCAACAACTGAGACCATAATCTACCACTGGAAAGATCCAACTGGGCCTGGGAACTTCTCATGTCGATCTCCTCACCAACACCTCCAGTAAGATCAACAAGTGCATCCTGAACAAGCCCGCCTTCTAGTGCCTTATAAGAACCATGCAATTTTGCATATACCTTCTCCAATATAGAAACCCATAATTCATTAGCCTTCTTACTGGTCGTAAATGCTGGTTCGCCAGGTGATTCACATGGAATCCAGTCATCAACAACAACAGGGACCCATTCACCCTGTAAAGTGTTCATAACCATAGTATGCCTAAGGATTAATATGTCATGGCCAAGTTGGCGGGCTTCTTTCCACGAAATTTCCAAAATACATTTGGCAAGAAAAGTAAATGGAATCTCCACAGCAACAAAACCACTTCCCTTTCCAATTATCTTCTTGACCTCTACTAGCGCATTAATTCCCATTAGCAACAATCTAAACTTGTAAGGGTCATCATCTTCTACATGGTTCTTTATAGTCTCAATGGCATTGAAATAACCTACACTCATTGTTTCATCATATTGAAAATCAAGTACCTCGCTTGTGGTTCCCGCAGAGACACTTTTGTCAAGGACTTCGCCTACTCCTTTGGAATTATCAGCAATCGTTCGCCTGTGAAACATGAGTTCTATTTCTCCATCTTTAATACTTGATCCTCCTGTGGCACGATCAACCAACATGGATAGTTCAAATTTCTTATCCACCGTATAAATTCCAAGGTTAATTGGATAGTAATTTCCTGCTACAGGTTGCTCTTTGTCTTTGTAGAGTATGGTGACCTGGGAATCAGAATCACCACTGCTTGAACTGTACCACAAGTAGCTCTGCTGCACTGGTACATCTACCTTTGGTTTTGGTAATTTATCGAACACTTGATACCTATCCTTTGTATCTTCTATTGCCATATGTAACATCTGCTCAATTCCAGGGTTGTTTTGGACTTGCTCCTCCGTCCTCCCTGTCAACATCCCCAATATCTGCTCCATGTAGCTTTGAGTCGTTGTCATCCTAGACTCCAATGAACTGATACGTTTATCTTGTGCCTCCCACCACTTGGGAGGGTTGGTTTCCTCATTTGCTTGCTGCACTATTTTCTTTAAGTCCTTAATCTGCTTTTTGATGGCAGAGAGATCAGTAGATTCTACCATGGTGTGGTTCTTCTTTTGCATATACAGTCTGCAATTTGCCAGGAATTAAGGCTCCTGATACCAATTTGTTATGGAATGAGAGAAACAGAGAAAGATACGAGAAGAGAATGAGAGAATTTAGAGAAGAAAATAGTCATTCATTCATTGCATGAGGAAGAAAATGCCTCAAGTCAGGTCTTATTTAGTTACAATGGTTGTACGGTAATTCTAATAATGCCAGGTGGTTGTCCTTTATAACAGATTCTAACAACTCTACTTATCCCTTCCTTTCTTCTGCAGGTATTGGCCTTCTGACTCAGACTGCTCCAACTCTTCCTGGATCCATTCAGCCTACTCCAACTCATCCGGTAAGTTAATCATACGCCCTTCACGTGCTTCAATTCCCAATTTACATTTTCCAATCCCTAACCCTTGCGCATCCATTCCCAATTTCTCCCCTAGCTCGTCCATTCCCAAATCCTCCTCTCCTCGCCGTTCTTCTTCTTCTTCGACCATAACACATTGTTATAGGAATCTATAACAAGTCATTAGATAAACTTCTCTTTGGTGGATGTTCTACAAAATTCAGGATGTATGATTACATTGTGTGGCACTATTTTTGCGCTTTAAATGTGCTGGTTCAGTGTGCATATTTTTAGGCCTTAATGAATGTTTCAGATTATAGATATGTTATCGACCTCACTCTTAATTTTATTATTTGCTTCTAACTCAAACTCTTCCACAACAAAAGGCTCAGAGAGATTGCATTGCGCTGCGAGGATATTAATTAACTCTCAAGTGGAGGATGGAGATTTTCCTCAACAGGTAAATATATCAGGTTTTATTTGTTTGCGTTAAGATATGAGATGAAAACGGTGCCTGGATCAAATAATATAAAGCATGGTTCAGTTGTCTGCAAGTAGAAAATGATTGGATAAAATTAACACTAAAAACGTTTTGCATATTTTATGGAATTACGAAGAGAATATTTTAACTATTGCATCAAGTGATCCGGTACTGTTCTAGCAAAGAGATGGGATTTATTGAAGTTCTTCGATATACATAGCTTATTAATATCACCTTTTAGTGTACCTTGGATTGGAATGTGTGAGAGTTTTCCTGCAGTGATATGAGAAGTTCCAATATCATAGCTATATATTTGCATGCATTATTGATTGCTTTTATCATTTCGCTGCCACGGGAGATCATGGGAGTCTTCAATAAGAACTGTATGATCAGCTATTCTGCTTATTGGAACATTTTTCCGATATGGGCTCTCGGGGAATATCGCTGCCGGGTGTTGAAGGCCCCCTTCCATGGTCGATATTATGGTCAGATAACTTATGTCTGTAACTTCTTCCAAAGCCATTTGACCATTCTTATAATATGAAGTTTCCATTAACAGTCTTATGGAGGCAATGCAGGATTTCAAAAACTAATGTAATAAAATATCCGAATTCAAACAGTTGTCTTATTTTCATAAAAAAAAAATTAAAATTGAATTTTTATCAAAACTAAAAGAATGCATTATTATACTAGATGTTAAAAAGGATTATTAAAGCAACCCAAACTGTTATCAAATAATTTAAACTTGTTTCGATAAAACATTTGACATTTTATTCTCAGTCATTTTTTTTGTAATCACCTTCAAAAATAAATATAATCATTAAACTAACTTATTGAATCAATTTAATAATTTTAAAATTTATAGTGTATATAAACATATTTACAGGCATATATATTTTATTATGAATTTAAAAATTGATTATATGTAAAAATTAATTTTTAAAATATTGATTAATTCAAGATATACCAATACAAGTACTAAAATAAAAACAATGCATTTACTAATACGATATTAATATTACAGCAAGGACAAGGTTTGGAAATGAAGGAAAATATAACTTTTTTTTTATTAATTAGAAATTAGCGATATCACAACGAATATAGTATCCATGAGGCTTATCCTTAAGCTTCAAGGATAAAGAAGGATAAAGCAAGGTGAATTGTTGTAGAGCTATGGATATAAAGCATTATAGCTATTATTGGGAAAAATAGTTGCAATGTGGAGGATTAATGAGGAAGGAGACGAATGGGGAGTCCTTTAGCTGGCATTGGCAATGGATCCACAATCATTTTCTCATTGGAAATAACCTTCTCCCACTTAAACCTTTTGATTACATTATGCATGAACACCAGTATTTCGAGACGAGCATACTCTTTGCCGGGACACATTCTCGGACCTCCTCCGAACGGAACGAACGTGTAAGGAGCTGGTCCCTTGTCTTCGAATCTTCCGGGGTCGAACTTCTCTGGCTCAGGGAAACACTCGGGGTTTGTGTGGGTAGAATTCACATTCCAATGCAACTAAATTCAATGACCAGTAGATTAGTTGTTTGTTGAGATTTAACCCCCCAAAAAAAAGGTAGAAAATAAATGAAGTAAACCTTCCAGCCTTTGGGAATGGAGAAACCAGCGAAAGTGAAGTCAGTGATGGCCTCTCTAAAAGCACCCTGAAGTGGCGGCGCCACCCTCATCACTTCACAGGCTACGTTCCATGAATATTTCATCTTCTGAAGGTCTTCCCAGTTTAGTAGTTCCCCTTCCTTTTTTGTTCTTGCAATCTCTATTTGTTCTGTCAGGCACCCGTTGAAAATGAAATATTTGCAAAAAAAAATCTCATGAGCTGACACTTTTATGAAGAAATGGAGAGAGGGTTTAGAAAAATCACACCTTTATAAACCTCATTGTAGATATTAGGAAGCTCAGCAAGATACTTGACGACGAAAGTAATGGCGGCACTGGCAGTATCGTGACCGCCGATCAACAAACCCAGTATCCTATCAGCAATGTTCAGTTCATTCAAATACTGCCCATTCTCATCGGTGGCAAGCAACATGTGAGACAAAATATCTTGATTTGGGGTTGCTTTTTTGTCCGCAAGATCAATTTTTCTCTCCTTGATGATCGCCATCAACTCCTTCCTGATCGTTTCCGCAGCATTGATAGCTCGACGGAAAGGCGTTCCGGGCAAGTTTATGGGGACGGAAATGATTCCGGCGGCCATAGCATTGAAAGGGTCAGCAAATTTAGCAACATGGTCTGGATCTTCTATGCTTAAAAACACTTTGCAAGCTACCCAAAAGGTGAATCTTTTTGCTAGCGGGAAAACTGTTATTTCTCTTTTGCCATCCCAACTGGATTCAAAGTGTCTTTGAGCAATCATATCCATCATCCCTATGTATCTTTGCAATGCGTCGGGTTTGAGGAAATTAGGCAGCATTTTCCTCATCTTTATCGATTCTTCTTTCGAACTCGTTTGCGTCGAAGAAGGGAAAATCTTGTTGACTGAATCCGGCCACCACGACTGGACAAGCTTGTTTTCGTTGGAGAATAAGAATTTGTTACCAGCAGCACCGCAAACGACAGCCATCGGTTCTCCGAATATCGAAGTTTTGAAGAGTTGGGAAGAGTATTTGGCCATTCTATCGTTTAAGAACTTCTCGGGATGACCCCTTCGACCTGTTAAGAGGTACTCGATGCTTTCACCGATCAACGGCAACCCCATCTTACCAGGTGGAAGGTTGGGATTCGAAGCATAATCAGATTTCTTGTAGTACACGAAGACTGCAAGGGACAATACTGGTAAGCAGATTGAAATGATGAGCAGGATGGGAACCATGTTTGTTGATTCAGTTTCTTTCAGATATTTGGTGATTAAACATGATGTAACACAGAGTATATATATATATAAGGCAAATCTCTGAAGAACAGGTTATAGGATCTTTTTGACGGACTAAAAATATATAATTTAAACAAGTTGGACATGGAAGAAATTATGAGCTTTATTCTTGTCTCTGTTGTTTTCCTTATGTTGGTGAAATGCAGTATATAGATTCATGAAACAACTAATTTATTTACGGAACAGACAGGGAAGGGAATAAACATTTATTTATTAATATAGTTTTGTCGAAGTGGAGTTTAAGAACTATTGATTAGATGAAAAGAGTTTGATTTATTGATTAGAACGCAATACGTTCATACATCATTTATTGGATACTTTTCATTGTTAGCATCGCACCAATTGTATTCATTGGATATATTTTTTTCCAATATTTTATTTTTTGTATTAATCTGAAGTAATTACAACGCATCACATCCTGATATCTGTAGTGCTCGAATTCGGGTCTTCAAAGACTAACAATAATTCTTTTACCACGGACACCACTTGACTTGCGATCCTATATTTTATTTAAATGCTTAGTTTGACCATGCACTATTTCTTTTCTCAATTTATTATGTTATATCATTTTATCTATTAGTTTACCCATAATTTTATAAATATAACACAGTTTTATCGGAAAGTTGTCATGCATATAAAATCATAAAAACTTAAAAATATTAAAAAATATAAAATCACTGAAAATTATAATTTTCTGATTTTTTTTATTTTTAATGATTCTATATTTCTTATTTTTTAAAAAATAAACTAACATAATTATAATTCTGGAAAAATATAAATTTTAAACATAAATAAAACTTTGGATCTTTTTTAAATTTGTGATATTTTAAATTATTAATAATAAAAACTAGTAAGTGATATAATTTAATTAAATTAAAATATTATGATTTACATGAAAGTAAACTAATTTCAGTGGAATAAACTGTAAATTGTTCTTATAAATTATATGATGATTAGAACTTGTAAGATAACAATAGCTTGTATCATGTACTACGTTGATAATCTGGCATTACAGATGAAGTATTCTCATTTTCCTGCGGTATAATGCGGCACCGGTCAGTGGGTTGTGACATAATTCTATCCTACAACTAACATATACGGGAGCTAGTCATTTATCTCCTTTGAAAGTTAAGGAACTTGATGCCATAGGCAAAGACGAACAAAAATAGCAGACACCAACCGATGTGTGCAACCGCAACTACAGGTAGGAACTGATACTCGAACCCCAAATTTTCCTTCATGTATATCTTGACCGGAACATCTTGTTTTTTTGCTCTGTCGATGGTTAATATAATGAATGGAAACAGTCTTTGCTCTGTTGATAAATTAAAAAGAAACACATTACTTACATTTTTTGTCCTTTGAAGATAAGGCTGAACATGATGCCTACGACAATTGTTAAGAAGAACCTGATGGCATTCTACGGAGGGTTCCTCATGTAAGACCAGTGTTGTTTCAGGAAACAAACATTGCACTGAGAAAGGAATGGTAAATAATATTTGGTTGGGAAGTGGAGATCCTGGGAGCCTGGATCTGGAGTACTTATCTCTTTAATAAGTTCTTGATTCCTCCTGCGAGTTTTTCAAACATAAAGAGGAGGTTAAATCGAACCATTAGTACTCCTTAAACCACTCCAGATAAAATTAAATTCGCCTTAATTTTGCCGTTGTATTGGAACATACTGATAAAGTGAGGATTTAGCATAAATTTCTGCAAAGTCCACATTCAGCTGACTTTCAACTGCTGGAGAGCTTATTTCAAGCATCCATGTTGCTGGATTTCATCCTTCCTTGATCTTTGGAACACCAGGTATAGCCTACAATGCAATTAGATCACACGTTTTAACAGTCTAATAAGAATTTTCTCACATTGTTGGTTTATAAAAAGAATTCTCACCTAAAAAATACTCTCCAAGATGGAGACAATTGCGACCAAGAGGTCCGGCATAGATGATTTGCCCTCCTCTTTTCATCAGCAGTAACTGAACAAATAAAATAGTAAGTTGAAAATGAGTAATACAAAACGTAATGATGAAGAGGGAAACATAGGCAGCAAATTCTGAGACAGGAATCTACCAAATTGAAAGTCTGTATACCTCATCAAAAGACTCAAAAATGTCTATGCTAGTTGGTGATGTAAAGTCAACAATGGTGGGATGGGGCACCGCCTATGCACGTTTTTAATAATTCGGTGCCCCAATTTTTTTATTAAAAATAAAAATGGAGAAATTTAGTCTCTATATACTTTAGGGTATTTACAAGATTAGTCATTAAGCTTCAACTATAAATATCCTAGCTCATTTATCTTTAAAATCATCCCAAATTATTTTTTTCTCCCAATACTAGAGAGATTTCTTGTGAGTAGTGAGTGTTTTGTAAACACCTGGAAATTTTCTCTCTTTAGTAAAAGATCTGCAGCAGTCTGGAGACGTATGCATAATTGGCTGAACTCCGTTATCGATTTCGGATATTATTTTTCCGCTTTTATTTCGTATTCTCACTAATCTGGTTATAGATAAATTACTCGTTTATTTTCCAACAACTGGTATCAGAGCTTTTTGTTGTGAATTTTGTCAATTTTTTTGCGAGGTTACTATTCATTACTATTCACGTAAAGAGTGAAGTTCGTGAATAGTAAAAAATTTGTCGGCGATACGAATTTATCGACGGATGTGTTCTAATACACGGTGGTTCGCAAGAATTATCAGAAACGATCCAAAAGAAGCCATATTCGAGTGGGAGCGATGGCTGCAGACGAAGGGAATGTGAAAATTGAGAAGTTCGATGGTGCGAACTTTGGCTTTTGAAAGATGCAGATTGAAGATTTTCTATACCAGAAAAATATATATCAACCTCTCTCAAGAAAGCAACCAGAGGGCATGAAGAATGAAGACTGTGCTCTTCTCGACAGACAAGCCCTCGGAGTTATCCAACTGACGCTATCCCGCAATGTTGCTTTCAACATAGCAAAGGAAAAGACCACAGCGGGTCTTATGGTGGCTCTCTCCAGTATGTATGAGAAGCCATCGGCCTCAAACAAAGTTCACTTGATGAGGCGATTATTCAATTTGCGGATGGCAGAAGGGGCATCAGTGGCTCAATACCTAAATGAACTCAACACAATCACAACCTAGTTGAGTTCCGTGGAAATTGAATTCGATGATGAAGTTCGAGCTTTAATTCTCTTATCATCTCTACCAGACAGCTGGAATGCTACTGTTACAACAGTCAGCAGCTCGTCGAAAAAATCAAATTAAAATTCGACGATGTTCGGGATCTGGTATTGAGTGAAGAAATTCGATGGAGAGAATCGGGTAAAGCATCAACCTCCTCATCCTTGCACACGGAGTCTAGAGGGAGAACTTCATAAAGAAATTCAAATCGTGGCAGATCGAAATCCAGAACGGTAAAGAAAGATTTTACCTGTTATAATTGTGGCAAGAAGGGTCACTTTAAAAGAGATTGGCGAGCATTGAAGAAAGATATCGGAGCACAGAAATCTGCCAACATGACAGAGGAGACATGTGATGCCATTATTCTAAGCGTCAACAGTCTAATTGAATCATGGATCTTGGATTCAGGGGCATCTTTCCACTCCACCCCATGCCAAGAAATCATGGAGAACTATGTTAGTGGTGATTTTGGGAAGGTTCATCTAGCTGATGATGAAATCTTGAAGATCGTCGGAAAAGAAGACATCCAATTAAAGTTGTCAAACCAGACCACCTGGAAACTGACAGGAGTGAGACATACTCACGGTCTCAAAAGAAATTTAATTTCTGTAGGACAACTTGATGGAGAAGGATATAGTATAACATTTTCAGGTTGTGAATGGAAGATTACCAAAGAAGCACTCGTCATTGCTCGTGGTAAGAAGACTGATACTCTCTATGTAACCTCAAATTTAGAGAATATCATTACAGTAGCAGATGCTGATAGAAAATCAAACATATGGCACCAACGGCTTGACCATATGAGCGAGAAATGAATGAAGACACTTTTGTCAAAAGGGAAGCTGCCGGATCTAAAGAATGTAGATGCCAGACTATGCGAGGATTGCATCTTTGGCAAACAAAAGAAAGTCAGTTTTGCAAAGATTGACAAGACACCAAAGGCAGAAAAGTTAGAGTTGGTTCATACTGATGTGTGGGGACCATCTCCAGTTCTATATCTTACAGACTGACTATATTATGTTACCTTCATCGATGATTCTACAAAGAAGGTGTGGGTTTATTTTCTGAAGAAGAAATCAGAAGTCTTTGATACCTTCAGAAAATTTGATACCTTCAGAAAATGGAAGGCCATGGTGGAAAATGAGACTGGTTTGAAAGTCAAGCGGTTGAGGTCTGACAATGGGATCAAGATGGAGACAACAGTTCCCATGACACCGCAGCAGAATGACATAGCAGAACGCATGAACAGAACTCTGAATAAACGTGCCAAAAGCATGAGGATACATGTCGGATTGTCTAAATTTCTATGGGCTGAAGCTATCAACACTGCATCTTACCTGATCAACCGTGGGCCCTCAGTTCCTTTGGATGGTGGAATACCAGAGGAAGTTTGGAGCAGAAAAGAAATAAACCCCACACTTAAGAGTGTTTGGTTGTATTTCTTATGTACACATAGATTCTGCTGAAAGAAGTAAACTTGATGCCAAGTCCAATAAATGTGTCTTTGTTGGTTATGGTGGTGATGAGTTCGGTTACCGGTTTTGGGACTACGAAAATCGAAAGATCATCAGAAGCAGAGATGTCATTTTTCATGAAAATGTGATGTACAAAGATATGTCAACCATAGAATCAAGTAGCTCCAATACTGAAGCTGAAACAAAGGAATTTACTGAGTTTGAGGAGATTTCTGAAAATGATGTTCAGATCAGTCTTGAAGCAGTTCAAGAACAACCATGCACACCAGAACTGAGACGCTCATCCAGAATTCCTAAACCAACCCAGCGTTATTCACCTTCTTTGCACTACTTATTGCTGACTGACAATGGTGAACCAGAGTGTTATGATGAATCAATGCAGGTGGAGGATTCAGTCAAGTTGGAGTCTTTCATGAAAGATGAGATGGACTCGCTTATGTCAAATCAGACGTGAGAATTAGATGAATTACCACCAGGCAAGAAAGCGCTCCATAACAAGTGGATTTACAGGATCAAAGAAAAGCATGATGGGAGAAAATGCTACAAAGCAAGATTGGTTGTCAAAGGTTTTCAACAAAAAGAATATATTGACTACAATGAAATTTTCTCTCCAGTCGTAAAACTGTCTACAATCAGACTGGTGTTGAAAATTGTAGCTGCAGAGAATTTACATCTTGAGCAGTTAGATGTAAAGATAACTTTCCTTCATGGTGATTTGGAGGAAGAAATCTATATGAAGCAGTCAGAAGGCTTCATAGAGGCAGGCAAGAAAAACTTGGTATGCAGGTTGAAGAAGAGCTTGTATGGTTTAAAACAAGCTCCTAGACAGTGGTACAAGAAGTTCGATAGTTTCATGAGTAGCAGTGGTTTTACCAAATGCCAAGCAGATCATTGTTGCTACATTAAAAGGTTCGACAACAGCTTCATTATTTTATTATTGTACGTTGATGGCATGCTCGTTGCAGGCTCAGACATGCAAGAGATTATAAACTTGAAACAAAAATTGTCGAAGCAGTTTGCAATGAAAGATTTGGGCGCTGCAAAGCAGATTCTTGGGATGAGGATTAAGAGAGACACAAAGTCGAGGACTTTGATGTTATCACATGCTGAGTACATCAATAAAGTACTCTCCAGGTTCAACATGCAAGATGTTAAACCAGTAAGTACACCTTTAGGTGTTCATTTTATACTTTCCAAAGAACAGTCACCAAAGACGGAGGAAGAACGTGCACACATGGTGAAGGTGTCGTATGCCTCAGCAATTGGAAGTCTAATGTATGACATGGTTTGTACTAGACCAGATATTGCTCATGCAGTGGGAGCTGTTAGTAGGTACATGAATAATCAGGCAAGGTACACTGGGAAGTAGCCAAATGGATCCTCATATATCTGCATGGTACCACAAACAAAGCACTTTGTTTCAAAGGTGGAGATACAATACTGACAGACTATGTAGATGTTGACTTAGCCAGAAATGTTGACATCAGAATGAAAACTACATGGTATGTCTATACTCTAGGAGGTACTACAGTGAGTTGGGTTTCTCAACTACAGAAGATAGTTGCTCTCTCCACAACTGAAACAGAATATGTCGCTGTTACGGAAGCCAGCAAGGAGATGGTTTGGCTCCAAAGTTTCTTGGAAGAGTTAGGCAAGAAACAAGAAAACAATGTCTTGTATTGCGACAGTCAAAGTGCTATCCATCTAGCAAAGAATCCGTCTTTTCATTCCAGGATGAAGCACATACAATTACAGTATCATTTTATCCGGTCTCTTCTGGAATATGGGATTTTGAAACTTGAAAAGATTAGTGGAGCTCAAAATCCGGCAGACATGTTGACAAAGACGGTGACTACGGACAAACTGAAGTTGTGTTCAGCTTCAATTGGCATGTTAGAGTAACAAGACTAGAAATGTTGTTGCATTGATCGAAGAGTGAAGACAGATTAAAATCAGTCTTTAAGTGGGAGATTGTAAAGTTAACAATGGTGGGATGGGGGGCACCGCCTATGCACGTTTTCAACAATTCGGTGCCCCAATTTTTTATTAAAAATAAAAATGGGGAAAATGCATTTTAATCCCTGCACACTTTAGGGTATTTACAAGATTAGTCATTAAGCTTCAACTATAAATACCCTAGCTCATTTATTTTCAAAATCATCCATAATCATTTCTTTCTCCCAATACTAGAGAGTTTTTTTGTGATTAGTGAGTGTTTTGTAAACACCTGTAAATTTTCTCTCTTTAGTAAAAAATCTGCAGCAGTCCGGAAACGTAGGCATAATTGGATGAACTCTGTTATCAATTTCGTGTATTATTTTTTCACTTTTATTTCGTATTCTCACTTATCTGGTTATAGGAAAATTACTCGTTTATTTCCCAACAGGTGAATCGATCACAAAACAGTTCTCCTTGTATCAACTGTGTTTCTCACGGTCCTCATTACAATTGCAGCAGCCTGGGTATCAAGTCTGGAAGTTGGTTCATCCATGAAGATGATAGAAGGATTAGCAACCAATTCAACCACTATTGTCAACCTCTTTCTTTGTTCTATCAAAATACCATCTACTCCTGGAAGGCCAACTAAAGCATTCCTTAATGTCGAGAGTTCAACCAACTCCATAACCTCTTCAATGAACATTTGTGCATAGTCCAGAGAATCAAATTTAAACCTTTCTAGGTAATTACAACAGAAAAAGAGGTTATTTTATAACAAATAATTTAACCTTTCTTGTCTTGGTGTCAACTTTCGTAGAAAGACGAAGCCAGGCTAAGTACAGAAGAGATTCGTAGACCGTGACAAGAGGCGAGTGGATATTGTTTTGTTCACAGTAGCCACTGACACGAGTAAATGTAGCTTGATTATTTAGATATCCGGAGATGTTTATATTTCCCTCAGTGTATCCCCCTGTTTTTCTTCCTGATGATACATCCATTAGGGTTGTCTTCCGGGCACCAGTGACACCTACCAATGTTGTCAATATCCCAGTTCTACAAGCGCCACTAACATCTTGTAGCAACAAAAGACGATCCTCCTCAACACCTTGACTCTTCATTTCCTAGAAAAAGAAAAACAACATTTCACCTTAACTGTTTGGCTCATGAAATTGATATCATACAATAACATGTGAATTGTTGAGGAAACAGTAACTTACAGCAGGCATATCTGCAGAGTAGCTGACGTGGTTGAATACAAGTGAAAGGGGTTTGAAAGACAACACCATTCCGCTTCTACTTGGTTGGTCTGCAATGTATGTGGTATCCAAAGAATTTCTCACTGGCCAATCAATTCCTACAATCATTCACAAAAGTTAAGGCAAAGCATCATCTAGGAAGAATTGTTTTCTACATTGAGTTTTGAAGTAACCTTTTGTGTTTTTTTCTAGAGGATGACTCTTTCTTGTTCGCATTTTTATCTTCATCAACAACGATTGCTTTCGAATCATGCAGAGCTGAAAATTGAATCACAAAGGAATCACTTGTCAAAATCGAAAATTCATGCAGATGAACAAAATTCTGAGTCCATAAGAAAGCAACCCAGATTCGGCATTCAATTCATACAAAAACTGTTTGAAGTACTGAGTAAAAATGAAACTACTAATGTAACTTACGGTTCAAGTAAGTCAATGCTACAATGAATAAAACGTTGAAGAGAACAGAAAATCCAAACAGTGCAACAACACATATCCAGAACCAATGATCTTCTGTAAAGAAGCTACGCTTTAGAAGAAGTTTTCCTACTATAGTTGCATGAAATTTGGTGTCATTGGTTTTCTGCATATATCACATTTAGTAATTGTCCGGGTCAAAAAAATATTATTAAAATATTATTATTCTTATTATTATTATTATTATTATTATTTACTTGTGTTACACTATTTTGCAGGCATTCAAGCCCAAGTTGGCCCAATACAGTTATCCCAGTGACCAACACATCAACTCAACCTAGACCCACTGGAACCCAAATAGAGCTTGACCCGATTGAAGAACCTTTCGAAGCTCCATCGACACTATTCACAGAGTCTCGTAAATCAGAGTTTGATAAAGCTGAGATCGAATATGATTCTGATGGAATTCATATAATCAAGCTAGATATCAATGATTTGGAAGAGAACAATCTTATGTTTGAAGGTGGCATTGTCTCAAATGCTTTAATTGCCTTGAATTCAAAAGCAGCTTTGACCACAGCTCTTAAACTGAAGCAAAATAGGCGGTTAAGGACAGAGCACATGGTGTATGAACTTCCACGTAATCACGTACCGCTTCAAGGGCTAGAACAAATAGAATCCGAACACGATTGCCAATATCATATTGCCATATGGAGATCACGTCCATCAACATCCATCTGCAAATCAGTGATCCAAAGTCAAAAAGAGGATATTATTATACCTAAACCCATCAACATTTCACCAAACAGCAAAGAAAAAATGCAAGAGGACAAGGATTCAGTGAAGAAGAAAAGAAATAAATTGAGGGGTAACAGGGGGAGGAGGGGAGGAACAAAAAAAATAGATTGAAACAGAGAGATTGGAGGAAAAAAAGAGCAATAAAAGAAAAAAAATTCGAAAGAAAAAAAACACGGGGAAAATCCATTCGAACAGAAAAAATCAGAGAAAAAGATTTGAGTGAGCAAACAAGGGTATCTTGTAAACCATTCGAAAATTATCAATAAAAATCCAAAATTTCAGAATAAAAAAAACATAGAGGCAATTTCACACAGAGATTCGAACAAAAAAACTAAAAAAAGAAGTTTACCTTATTTTTGGAAGCCCTCGCCGGAGAAGAAGAACCCCATCACGAAGGTAATTTTTTTCCCGTTTTTAAAGTTGTAGTTTCGAGTTTCAAAGGAAAGGGGTCGGTTTTGGGATTTTTGAAGGTTTGAAAAATAAAAAATGAAGAAGAATGAGAGTTTAGAAGAGAGATACGGCTGAGAGTAGTGTGAATGGGTAAAAGGGTTAGAAAAGATAAACCCTATTTTAATCAATTTACAAAACGGTGTAGTTTCAAAACATAAAAAATATAAAAAAATAAAAATCAGAAAAAAGGTATTGACGTGCCCAGTGTTATAAAAAAAAGGGTTATATAAACCCCTGGTCCTTGTAATTGTAGATCCTTTATTCTGACTGCAGTATGAATTTGTTTTCTATTATGGGTGTATTGTTTTCTTGTTTTGCATTTGGTCCCTCTTTTCCTATGTTTCTTCTTTAAGGATATTTCGAATTTTTTGCACTTAGCTGTTACATTTTTTATTTTAATACTAAATGTCATTTATGGTTTATTTGCATTTTTAGTACCTTCGCTGTTAATATTTCTGATTAATACCCTGATTGTTGTAAGGGTTGTTGTTTTTTAAGTTGCTATTAATATGATTATGATCCTTTAAATTATCAAGTTTGCTTAATTTCATATGTTTGAATTTTAGTTTGCAATGATTCCATTTTTTTTATTATTTATTTGTTTTAGTCCTTTACATATTTGTACGCATATGTATGTGTATATTATATTATAGTTTTACCTGTTTTGCATATGCTATATTATACACACGTGTTTGCCATATATATTTATTAAACATTTTTGTATCCTTTCATATATAATGAGCATACATACGCATATAAATTAAAACCATCAACCATACTTACACGCATGATGACGCAACTTTATATATTTATGCATATTAAGGTTTATTATATATATATATATATATATATATATATATATATATATATATATATATATATATATATATATATATATATATATATAATAAAAAAATTAATCGTATTTGCACTAAATCTATTTTCATATAAGTATACATATATTTTTATATATATATAAAATTTTCAATTTATTTTTCATCATTATTTTTTACTCTATTTATTAATATTTTTTACTCGAATAATTTCAAGAATACTGATTTATAGAACGGACATGGAAAGTATCATTTGTGCAAAGGGGTACAATCCGATACGATGTTCGAACAAAATGAGATTTGAAACAAATATAGTTTGTTTTATTAATTAAATCTTTTATGATTTAAGGCATTTGTATGTAGCAATTTATTTTGTTTGTAAATTGTCGATAATTTATATTCTCTTTGCGTTTTTTTAAAAATTTAATGAGGATGAATATTTCTTTATGAATAAGAAACAGATGAAATAACTTTCCCGATAAAGGATTGTTAATGTCGAGATTTCTTTTCAAATTAAAGAATTTTTTATAAATTAATTAATTAATTTGAAGCAAATTAATTAATATTTAATAAATGGATCATATCTTAACTTTATATTCGATTCATATTTTTTACCATTTACGACGATATGTAAACGACACAGTACTAATTTTGGGCGCTGTGGGGGTGTTAATCCTTCCTCACGCGTAATCGACTCCCGAACCCTTTAAAATGAACTTCTGGTAAGTCTTTTAAAAAATAATTTTTCTTAAAATTGTTTTTTAAAAAAGACGTTTTTAGGTGTTCGACCTACCTAATCCAAAGGTTGATGGCGACTCTTTTCAATTTTATCCAAATTAATTCCAAATCACTGAATTTTCTAAAATTAAAAGTCGTAACTGTATTTTAAAAACAATAAATAATTGTTCAACCTGAAAAACGGTTATGACAGTAATACAATAAGGTCAAGAAAATGCAGGTGCCTAACCAGTGTTTATACATGGATAATTGGATATGCATCCATGCTATAATATATATATATATATATGAATATGAAGAAATCTTATTGTATTCCATCTCTCATCAAGAAATTCATTCACGGCAATGGCATTTTGCCCATACATCATTGGTGACAAATAGTAGCCCCACGTCATCCATGGATCAATGTCATCTGTCGTTAGAAAAAGGGTTACCAATGTTGAACTTAAGCAGAAACTTATATATAAAAACAAGTGAATATTAAATATATACATCAAAAGGATATATTGAAACAATTATATACATATGATAGAAATTAATTTTTGACATTAGTAATATCGTATTGCTATGCTTTGCTTACTGCTTGGTTTGACTGCAAAACTTTTAAGGCAAATAGAGATGAATTACTTACCTTTGGCAACAATGAAACCTCCAAGCACGAAAATTATTAGCATGGTGAAGGTACCCAAAGTGTTGGCGATGACTAGTGTTCTTCCTACTGCAGCAATGAACCTATAGAGGGATAGAGCCATCTGATGAATGCTTATGAATGCCAGGAACTGTCTGAAAAACCTGAATATATAGAGGAAAAGAGTTATTAGATAAAAGAAACTAATGTCCATGATTCTCAAGAAACTACTAATTTTGTAGAATGTGAGAACGATGATTGTTAAAAATGTGGACACCTGCCAGCAGCTGCAGCAAATCCAATGGTGTAGTATGTGATGCAGATCCAGATTCCAGAAATGAAAATGGGATCTTGGTGATCCAAATAGGAAGGATAAAAGCCCATGGAAGGTAGAACAAGAAGTCCCTTTGTTCATAGAAAACAGGAAGCCTGGAAATTGTCATTGCAAGTTCTTGCGTACCATTAAACGTCACATTGATTAGACTGTAAAACAAAGCTCCTAAAAATTTCGATCCGCCTTGCAAATCGCCTGCGTGCATTTCTTTTCTAAAAAACACGGTCATGGCAATTGTTGACGTGATCGTAATTTGGATGATCCTGAATATGTACATGAATGAGTTACGTTTAATTAGCAACCACTTGCAAAGCATGCCCTGAACAATTTCCAGTTTGAAATGCCATACTTTTCTGTAACTAATGCATGATGGTGTGCTACTGATCTTTCATAAGGAACCCTAAGATCTGATTCGAGCTGTTGCGCAATGTGGAATGAGTTGAAGCCCTGCACAAAGTCGGAAACCGTAACATACTATAAGGCTGGTCTTTTCTGAACCAATATTGTTCTTGATCCTTCTTGGAAGTTACTTCTTGCAAAAAGTCTGCAATTCCTTTTCTTTCAGGGCATTTGAAACCCATGTATTCAAAGAACTCAAGGACACATTCAGTGGGACCTTGGTAGACTATTTGACCCTCTGAAAGTAGGATAATGTGGTCGAACAGATCATGTCTCCGGTGCTGGTTGTAGAAGTGAAATGACCATGGTTACATCCATGATATGAACCATTTGTCTCATGAATTTGCAAATCTGATATGTAGTACAACGGTCCAGCCCCGTCGATATTTCATCCATAAAGAAGGCCTTCGCGGGACCAACCAACATCTCTCCTGCAGTTCAGGCAAACAAAAACTATTAGACTGGCAATATCTAATTTGAGAATACCTAGGCTACGAATCTAACATTACAAGTATACTTGATATCGAGTACAATTTTGACATGCTGGTAGAGTGAATGGTAACTTTTTTTATAAGTGTATCGAGAAGCTCAGCTTGTGGTAGAAGCATACCCGTAGTCAAACGCTTCTTTTCACTACCAGAAATACCTCTACGCGTTTCGTTTCCGACCAGAGTATCCGAACACATTTCTAATCCAAGTATCAGTTTGAAAATTTCATAAAACGGGTAAATATGCTTGGATTGGCGTTTAATGGACAAATAAAAGAAATATGTGAAAACCAAACCTTAAGAACATAATCTGAAACCAAGCTAGTTTGTTGCCCTGCCATATCTGTTGCTTTCATGAACACGTCATTTTCAGGATCCGGCTTGATCAATTTAGGTAATTTAAACTCTTTCTCGATTATTTTGGTGTTTACTTTTAAAATAAAAAATGATTTGAGTATTTGCCACCAATATTTGATTAGGGTGTGATTGGACACCCAAAAAACCGTCATTTTAATAAAAATTTAATTTTAATTTTAATTTTATTAAAGCAACGTTTTTAGGTCTACTTTCCAAAAAAATTAAGTTTGAGAGTTGATTACGCACATAGAAGTGTTAACGCCCCCATAAAGCCCTAAATTAGTACCTAGTCAATTAATTAGTTGTATTTGCAATGAAACTTACAAGTTCGAATTTAATTTAAGATCCCTTTAAATGAAATTCCTTGAATTTTAGGACGAAAAACTGTGATATTTAATTATTTCTTATCGAGAATCGAGAAGAAACGACCTCTCATGCCTTAAAGTAGTCAGTTCTTAATCCAATTGAAATAAAAGAAATATTACTATTCCATTCAAAAATTCATTATTAATTCAAATTTCGAATGCATGAATAATGATAAAATAAATCAAAATAAATTAACAATTACCAATCATTTTAGAAAGAAGAAGGATGATCGATTATTTAAAGACATCGAGATATGACCTTTTATAAGTTCTAACGATATTTTTTCAATGAATTTAAATAGACGGACATTTCTTTTTTCTCTCGTGCCCAAATTTTAGGTGTGATAAATTTTCATGGTTTTCACTTAATAGGATACACTTTCATTTTAAAATTATTGAAAGTAATTTTCTTATACCTTAAGACATTCATTTCATAACAACCCTAAAATGAAAAAGTATTACCCTTAATTCAATTATTTAAATCAAATCGAGTTATGCTAATGAAGGTATTGCACATGTTAATTTTGAAAAGATAAATAATACCTAAACCTATATGTATGAACAAACATACTTATATAAACACATAAAATTAAATTAAATAACATATTATTTTGTTTAGATTGGATTAAATGAGATTTAGAGGGCGTATATAAACATAGTATATTTAAGACCAATTAATTTCGTAATATGCTGCATCATACTTAACACACACCAAATATAACCAAGATGAATCGCATATACATGTATCAGTGCACACATGAAATCTTCTAAATACAACATAAAATACATTTACCCTACATATATATTTACATGTTTATTATCATAAAAGAAAAGAAAGAAAACATGTCATATGGCATAATAGGAACCATAATATATAATATAAATATATATATTAAACACGTGCTAGGTTTAGACAATCGAACAAGTAACACGCACAGCAGGTAACACATCAATAGCTTAGGAAATAAAACATAGCATAAATAAGCAGATATATACACGAAGGGACATCA